TTAGATAACAAGAGATAGGCGGGAACTCTGGGACTGGGAGATTTTATAAAGCCCTTTGCACCCTGGAGAAAATGGTGCAAAAACACAAAGAAACGTTTAGTGCTGTGCTCACTACTTGAAAACAGCAGTGTGAGCACACAGCGCTGCTGGAGAGGCTGCTTTGAAGCCCAAGTACACAACACTGCCCGGGGGTCTGAACGTGAGTTTGATCTCAGGCGTTGTCAGGACATAACCTTTTACGTGTAAAGGCTTGTGTGCCCACGGAGTTGCTTGCTTCCCTTCCTCACTTTAATTAGCAATAACTTGCAGGAACTGGCACTGTTGCAGCCATCAGTTCATTATTTTCTGTATTTCTAGAGTTATCTCTAATAGCTTCTGTTGCCTTGCACCCTTGCTCTGAAATCGGAGTCGTGTTGTGCCATCCTGTTCTGTGTGTGAACACAGCAACGTTGGGAGAGAAACCTAACAAACAAGTCTCCCGGCAGAGAAGGAGTTACAGTTGTCAGCTTTGACTGTCCCCTTTCCTCTGAGCCAAAGTTTAGTATTTTAGAGCATTTCTAGAGGCATGAAACCTTCGAGAGATTTTGTCCTCTGTGGTTAATTGCAGTGGAGCACAAGGATAGTATGAAGTAAACTATATGTCTATTCACCTCCCCCCAGTATAATTTTGGCCAGCAGTTTAAACTGCTTTGTGCATTAGGTTTGCTCAGAGGTGGTAGGTAGTAGGGAGCAACCATGACTTCTTTTGTTGCGGTACGCGGGCCTCTCACTGTCGCGGCCTCTCCCGTTGCGGAGCACAGGCTCAGGACGCGCAGGCTCAGCGGCCGTGGCTCACGGCCCCAGCCGCTCCGCGGCATGTGGGAATCTTCCCGGACCGGGGCACGAACCCCTGTCCCCTTCATCGGCAGGCGGACTCTCAACCACTGCGCCACCAGGGAGGCCCAACCATGACTTTTTCTGTCTCCTAACCTTCCCTTCTCCCCTCCCTGGTCCTTAGGGGAGGGTAATGCTTGGGGGAAGTGGCAGAGGAGAAAGAGGAGACAAAAGGCCCTGATGGTCCACAGGCTGCACAGTCCTCCCCGGAGAGCCGGAGAAAGGGCTAGGGAAAGGAGCTTGCCTTTTATTCTAAGTCTTACCCTAATGGTAACAACTTTTCTAAGCAACAAATCCTCACAGTGGTTTACATGTCTTGAGCTGTCACTCAGGGCTGCATGTCGTGGTCACTACTTTAGATGTCCTCCCCATGTCCTGCTCTCTGAGACGGGCATTATTATTGGCCCCATTTTCCCAAAGGGGAGACTGAGGCTCAGTGAGTTTCATTAACTTGCGCATATCACGGGGCCCGCACTCTAAGCCACTCAGACCTCGAATCATCCTGCCCTTCCGATGGTTACAATAGCTCTTGTTAGTCTTTGATACCTGTGTGCTGGTGGTTGGCTTGGTTCGTGTTACTCAGCTTTTAAGGATTTCAAAAGCTTTTTATTTCTTCTAAGTGAAGTAGAAATTAGATCGTCATCTCAGTTTTCTCGCTTTCATTTCTATTTACTGTAAGTCAAGTATGTAGCTACAACAAATCGTTATTTGATTTAAAATTCTTTTTGCCTCCTGAATGGAGTATGTCAGGGATCAATATTAAGAAAACACTAGGGAGTTCCCTGGTGGCGCAGTGGCCTGCCAATGCAGGGGACATGGGTTCGAGCCCTGGTCCGGGAAGATCCCACATGCCGTGGAGCAACTAAGCCTGTGCGCCACAACTACTGAGGCTGCACTCTAGAGATCATGAGCCACAACTGCTGAGCCTGTGTGCCACAACTACTGAAGCCCGTGCGCCTAGAGCCTGTGCTCCACAGCAAGAGAAGCCACTGCAATGAGAAGAGTAGCCCCCGCTCACCGCAACTAGAGAAAGCCCACGTGTAGTAACGAAGACCCAACGCAGCCAAAAATAAATAAATAAATTTATAAAAAAAAAAAAAAAAGAAAGAAAACACTGTAGAGGTGATACTTTTTAAAAATAAGTGATAGCTTGGATTCACACCTTTACCCTTCAGAATGTGAAGAGTAGAAAAGTTATTTTCAGAAAATGGGAAAAGGCAAGAATTTATAGAAGCGAAAGCACTTTGTACAGAAGTCCAGCACTTTGTCCATTACAGCCAGTGACTATTGCAGTTGACAAATGAGAAACCCATCCTCCTGAGGTTAAGAAACGTAGGCAGTGACATGCAGGCAAGCATTCCCTCTAGTGACCCCTTTCTGCAAGTTACCCTTTTCAACTCTTACAACGTGCTTTTCTTTCCCCTACTGAGACTCAGATCAACTGAGATTTAATGACTTGTTCAAGCTCACAGAGCTGTTGAGTAGGGGAGCTGAGACTTCCCTGTGCAAGCCTGGGTTCATAATCCTTGGCAGTCTGCCTCCTCATCAAGTGGCCTGTTTTGGGGAGGCAATTGCATCATAAAACAAATTCAATATTGGAAAAGTGTTTCTCTTTTCAAGTGAATTTGAGCATGTTGGGGTCTGGAGAGACAGAGTTGTTTACTTTTAACTGCCTATTCGTTCAGCCTCAGAAAGAAGCCCCTTACATATTGCTTAGGACAAATGATTATGCGGGAGGAATATCAAAAACTGTTTTGATCTTACAAAATTTACTATCTGTGTACCTTTGGGAAGCAAACACAGATTGTGGGCTGGTAAAATTTTAAGCTTTATTTCCTTCGGATCCCCAAATTTGCACACACAGAGAGGGCATCATGGTCAGATTTTAAGGACCATTGGCAGCAGGAAAGGTAAGCAAAATGAACCAAGGACCCCCCAGTAACTGCCACCCCAGTGAAGTCTATTGGCGTGAAAAACTGAGTGGCTGGCTGAGTTTAGTGGACAATATGAGGTTCTTGATGAAGAGTACCCTATTTACTCTCTGATTGGAAAAACAAAACTAAGCTAAAACTCATTTTTAATGTAATGTAAACATTACAGGGACCTTTGGAAAAAAATCTTAATTTTTTAGTAGGTGACTAACATATGTTCTAGATCATAATGCACCATTGTTTATTAAACATTTGTCAGGAGATCAGGCATGGCTACTTGTTCACTGCTGCTTTTTAATCTGCCCTCTTACATGCTTTTTCCATTTGGAGCCTCTACCCCCCATTCTTTCTTAGGATGTTGTTACTTTTGAAGAGCTCATTGTGTTGGCATTACATGAGGCCTCTAAATTCACCGGGTCTAGCTTCTTTATTTCAAACACTAGAAAACTGAGAAATTTTAGTGATGGTATCTTTTCTCTGTGTAGTACTTTCTGATAAGCTGTGTGGTGTAATTGTCTCGACCACCCTGTGATGGGTATGGTCCCCACCCTAGAGACAAAGGTCAGATAGCTGGTTATCAGCAGAGCGGGTCTAGAAGCAGGTCTCCTGCTCCTACAGTAATACGAAGCTGCTCGTATTACTGTAAACTTGAGATGGTTGCACGTATCACAGTCGGCTGACCCAGCACTTGCAAATGCTTATATCCTTCCTGGCCTTCAAAGAGTCCATTAATCTTTATGTACTACACTGAAAGAAATTAATTTTTTTCTTTTCAATTCAGAAGTCATGAGGCTTTTATTTAGTATCTGAAGCCGATAAGCAGAGTTTAGTTGTATTACTGAATATGGGCCTTAAAACCAATGCATTTCTCTTCTAAAAATTATTTACTCTTGTTATAGGTGATCATTTGTTGATAGAGGTATTTGTTAACATGTGTGAATACCCTAAGAATGTCAGATCAAAATAGTTTTAATTAGTTCACTGCTTACCTCCCCCTACCATATATGTTGTGAAGCAATATAGAAGACGCCCTCATATCGAGGAGGATGGGTGAGTGATCTGCTTAGGTGAACTCATGGTAAAGGGGTGTCTGGACCACCCTGTAGCAAACAACCTTTGCATGTGCTTGTCTGTGTAGGCAAGCACTGGTGTGTACCTAGGATGGAGCCTACCCACTGGGAATAGAGAGAGGCAAGGGAATGGGGTGGGTACTTGCTCCCACTCTTGGAAGAGGTATTGAGTTTATTTTATTTATTTATTTTTGAAGTATAGTTGATTTACAATGTGGGTTTTTTCTATTTTTTATTGAAGTATATTTTTACATTTATTTTTCTTGAAGTATAGAGGTATTGAGTTTAGCATATACAAAGTGGTTCTTGGTTTAAGCAAAGCAAGATTAGTCCTTGTTATATTGAAAATTGCTTATCTTCAATAGCAAAAGTTTGGAGAATGCACCAAACTTGTGGATTCTTGGGGACAAGAGTGAAATTTGACATGCCGTTCAGTCATTCCTTTGTCCCCAGGCAGAATAGCACCCAAATTGGAGAGCTCATTTCCTTCAAATATCCAGCAGATTTCTCACGCTGCTTTAGCAGATCATGCCATTGTCTTACTTCTTTTTTCTTGTTTATACTGTCTTAATTTTTTGCTTTCAAAAGCTGTACATTTTATTTTTGGCTGCGCCGTGCAGCTTGCGGGATCTTAGTTCCCCAATCAGGGATCAAACCCGTGCCCACTCCATTGGAAGTGCGGAGTCTTAACCACTGGACCGGGAAAGTCCGTTTTGTCTTACTTCTTCTTTTTTTTAATTATCATTTATTTATTTATTTATTTTACGTTTTTGGCTGCATCGGGTCTTAGTTGCGGCACGCGGACTCTTCGTTGTGGTGCGTGGGCTTCTCTCTAGTCGTGGCGTGTGGGTTTTCTCTCTCTAGTTGTGGCGCGCAGGTTCCAGGGCGCATGGGCTCTGTAGTTCGCGGCATGTGGGCTCTCTCGTTGAGGTGTGTGAACTCGGTAGTTGTGGCTCATGGGCTTAGTTGCCCCGAGGCATGTGGGATCTTAGTTCCCTGACCAGGGATCGAACCTGCGTCCCCCGCATTGTAAAGTGGATTCTTTACCACTGGACCACCAGGGAAGTCCCTGTCTTCTGAATGATCAAAAGAACTGACTTTGTGGGCCTTTGTGTCTCTCTTTCAGGTCTAACTTCAAACTCGTGGCTGTTATTTCAAAACTCTATGCCATTGGTGGGCAGGCCGTTTCTAACGTTGAATGTTACAGCCCTGAGCAGGATGCCTGGAATTTCGTGGCACCCTTACCAAACCCTCTGGCTGAGTTTTCTGCGTGTGAGTGTAAGGGGAAAATTTATGTCATTGGAGGATATACTACAAGAGGTAAGTAAAGGGGCCTAGTAAGTGGTCCTCCTACACGTGAGCTTTGGCAGCCTGGGAAAGGGCAGCAGGGGCTGGAGGAAACCCTCTAGTGTGATCTTATGTATTACATAGTATATATTTACATATCTGGAAAAAAGAGCATCCTGTATGACAGGGGCAGTTTGGAGAGGAGGGGCCTTTGATGCCTTTGTGTGAGCATGAAAATTGAAAGGGGGAGGGGGGGCTGTGAACAAAATGTATTTTCTTCCTGCTTTGGAAACCCCACCTTGTGGTCAGCCATCCTGTGACTTGGCTGGGTAACTCCCATCCTTCTCCCAAATGCACACTGAATCCGCCCCGTCCAACACTATGGAATTTAGTGCCACAGCATTCTCGCAGATCTTTGTTTTCACTTTCTCCCTTGTGTTTGGGCACAAGCATATCAGATACAGATTCCAGAAATTCAGCTCCAGGCGGTTGTTCCCATATCATAGAAGGAGCAAGTACATGAAGAGAATTCTTTCCTGACCAGTGATGGGAAGGGGTTGTGCTGTTTATTAAACCGTACATATGTGTTTTTCACTTTTGTGGGTGGGCATTTTATAGTTAATGTTGTGGAAATAAAAAGTTTCTCCAGAGGTTTTATACTGCTGGTCTTGGTAGGAAGCATCTCACAGCTTGGTTTTCTGTTACTTGGTTTTCTATTATTAACAGTAAGAAAGGCAATGGTGGACCACCAGGAAGAGGTGTGTCTTTCCTGTTATCTCTTTCCTTCCCGTAAAGCAGTTGTTTCCAAGTTATCTCATGGCCAAGGCAGTTTATTTCTTCTTTTGGTCTGTCTGGCTGTATAATGCCCAGAACTTTTAGAAAAGGCATAACTGGACTCTTAGCCACATTGAAGTAGTAGAGTTACCATTATATTTGACGTAGTGAAATAACCTATCACCCCTGTATGGTGTGATATGGGCAGGACAGAGCTCTCTCCAGCCCTGGCTGATAACAGGCGTGTGCTGATGGCCCCAGCAAGCTGCATGTGACCATTTATAACTTTGCAAAGAACAGAAATCCACATAATAATAATATGAAGTAGGTGGCAAAAATTCTTTCAACATAACCAGATGTGTCTTGTTTTGGGGATATATGTTTGAGGAAGAAGTTAAATGTAAGGTATTTTATGAGCATCTGATTTACTTTTTTTTTTTTTTTTTTTGGTGACAGCGAAAGATTTTGATGAACACTTCTTAGAGTACCTCTAAACAGTTGATTGGTGGGGAGGGTGGTAGGCGGTGTTTTAGTTTCCTGTGGCTGACTTAACAAATGACCACAAACTTGGTGGCCTAAAGCAACAGAAATGTATTCTCTCACAGTTCTGGAGACCAGGAGTCTGAAGACAAGGTGTCAGGAGGATCACGCTCCCCCTGAAGGCTCTAGGGCAGAAACCTTCCTTGCCTCTTCCCGGCTCTGGTGGCGCCAGGTGTTCCTTGGCTAGAGGCTGCATGATTCCAATCCCTGCCTCTGTCCCCTCTGTGTGTATCCGTGTCTTCCTCTTCTGTCTCTTATAAAGACACACATCTCATTGGATTTAGAGCCCAGCTGGGTAATCCAGGATGACCTCGTCTTGAGATTCTTAACTAAATTACATCTGCAAAGACCCTTTTTCCAATAAAAAGTCACATTGAAAGGTTCTGGGGGTTAGAAGATGAACATATGTTTCAAGGGTCGCCATTCAGCTTTCTGCAGGTGGTGCGTTTATTTAGGCGTTTAAGAAGATGCAGTGGTGACATGGAAGGAGGGGAACAGTGAGGCTTTTTCTTTTTCACTCCAAGTTTTCATTACTTGTCCCTAGTGACTCTCCACTGATGATAAGATAATTGCCAGTTTTTCCTTTACGGATACTTGAAAGAAAATGAGACCTAGCAGTCATTTCTTTCACCGTCAACGTTGGTGTTCAGGTTACAGTGGTCAACTTTATAGACTTGACTAAACCATAGACCCGGGTGAATTCCTGTGCATGCATATGTACCTCCATGTGTATCTGTGTGTCTTCTCTCCTAGGAAAGTAAGTACAGTTATTTACTTTTGCACATTTCTAAGAATTCTGGTTCCTCCCTAGATTTTGTGACACAGAATGCGCCCTGTGGGCTGACCCAGTGCACACATATCCCTTGTCTTCTCTTCTAGCCAGGAGCTGGGAAGCGCTGACAGGAAGCACTGTAGCCTGAAGGCTATGCCCCTGGTAGATTTCCTAGTTTTTCCATGACCCTGGCTGAGCAAACGTTCTTTAGAGTTGACCTGGAAAACCCTTGCTTGTGTGTTTTCTAGTTTCACAAGCCGCTACTAAAGTGCCTTCTTGACTTGGGCCACCCACTGTGATTCCTGTCCCGGCTTCCCCGAGCCAAATCCCCACAATGGGATGGTTAGGTGACGTGGACAGATGACTGTTTGTGTAAGGACTGAAAACGAGTTTTTTACGATGGGAGGGCAGGACAGTTCCTCGTCCTCTGAAGCCCCCCTCCTCCTCTGCTTGGGCTCTTCCCAGCACTTCCTAATAGTTCCTTGTCTTGAAAACAAGAAGTCATAATTGTCATGAAAAAAAATAATTCAGGACTTAAGGTTGGCTTCGTAGCCTGCCGACTTCTTACGTTAGGTGAGACTTTTAAAATTTAGTAGGGAAGAGTTTGTGATTCTTATGATAGCTCTTTGATTGTTTTAATTCTTTGGCCGGCACTGAAGAAATGAAATTCGATAGAAAGTAGTAGTAACCACTAAAGGGAAGAAAGGTGATTTGTTAAATGTCAGAATCAACTCTAAATGTAAAGGCAGAAAGATCTTTCCGCCAACTCAAACGACCTCATCATGGTCTGAGCCCTTGTTGGGTGAGGAGAGAAAACATTTACAGAAGACCTGGAAGGACCTTCAGACCTGGACCTGAGAAATAAATACATTGAAGCTTTGCTAGAATAAGCCTTTTATTCGTGGGGTGGGGAGGGGTTACTAAGGGGCACTAGTTGGATAGATTAGTAACCAAACTCCCTAAGGCTGACTCCTAGGATGAGCTGTATCACAATCGCTACAAAGAAAAGAAAGAGGGGAGGTCATAGTCTTGGTGGAAAACAGAAGTTGTAACAATTTTGACATTTCTGCAGGCTCCGGACGGGTGCACACACAGGATCTGGACTCCTTTCCCTTCCCTCTGTGCCCTCTTAGGAGACACTTGACTTGGTAGCAGAGAGCACAGTGGAGCTCTAATTACTGCCCACTGTGAGTGGGTCCTTCTGTCTCAGGATCAAGTACTCCTCCCAGCTTCTGCAGCCATCAAAAGGCTGTGCGCTTTACTTGGACATCAGTTCCCAAGCTGGACTGTCTCTTACACTGATTTTGTTGTTTAAAAAACAACAACAAACAGTTCATTATTTTGGCTAATTCAGAGCATTTTTAGTTTTTTTTTTCTCAGTCTAAAATATTCCATTTATTCTTTCCTTGAGGAGAAAAGGAGAACAAAAAAAGAACGATAAAAAAAAAAAGAAAAATGAAACTAGATATTTTAAATTCCACAAGCATTTTTCAAAAAGAGAGTAGGCAATAATTTTCCTTGAAAAAGCTCTTCAAAATGATGTCAGGGTAGTCTTTCATCTACCATCCGATTTTATCCACACAATAATTAACCATCTCTTGTGAAACAGGGGTGGGGAAGGGGGAACGGCCTTTGCCAGTGTGTCTCTGGTGTTACAGTTGGGAAACAGAATTGCCAATGATTCTGTGGCTTGAAGGTCAGAGGTGAGATTTGCTTGCATCTCTCCTGCCATGCAGCTCTGCGTCCTTTCCTTTAGACGGCTCCAGAGATCCTGCTCGGCTTGCTTGGCTTGTTTTGTAGGATCTGTTGCCAAGGATAGATCCTCTTGGGGCTCTGCCAGTCAGAGCAGTCAGTCATTCAGTAGATACTGATGAGGGTTCTGAGGCTCGGATTCTTTGTACGTTGGCCTGTGGTGGTTCTCAAAGTTGCAAGGGTCCCAGGGAGGAGGGGGTGCTCTGTCACAGCGGCTCATCTGCCTGGCCTGGCCTGACCCACTCTGACAGCCTCCCAGGCAGGGGACGTACCCGGCAGGCCAGTGGGGATGATTCTGCACGGATCTCCTCCCAGCCATTTCGAAAACTATTTCCCCAACCTCGGCTTTCCTGAAATAGTTTTGCCTCTGTGTTAGCCAATCACTCAGGTGGAGGTAGGCGTGTATGTCCAGCCCAGGCAGCCGGCCTTGCTCCCGGTCGCTGTGTCATCATGCGGCTTCTTCCTGCCTTTCAGACCGGAACCTGAACATCTTGCAGTACTGCCCCTCCGCTGACACCTGGACGCTCTTTGAAACGTGCGACGTCCACATCCGCAAGCAGCAGATGGTGTCCGTGGAGGAGACCATCTACATCGTGGGGGGCTGTCTCCACGAGCTGGGGCCCACCCGGAGGGGCAGCCAGAGCGAGGACATGCTCACCGTGCAGTCCTACAACACTGTCACCCGCCAGTGGCTCTACCTCAAGGAGAACACGTCCAAGTCGGGCCTCAACCTGACGTGCGCGCTTCACAATGACGGCATCTACATCATGAGCAGAGACGTGACCCTGTCCACCAGCTTGGAACACCGAGTCTTCCTCAAGTACAACATCTTTTCGGATAGCTGGGAAGCCTTTAGGCGTTTCCCAGCCTTTGGACACAACTTGCTGGTCTCTTCGCTTTATCTGCCCAATAAAGCAGAGACATGACTGAATTGACTTAGTATTTAAAAGAAACCTGGTTCAAGACCAAAAAAACAAAAGAACCATGTCCAATTTCGAGAGAGACTGATTTTTAAAGGGAAAATGTGGGTTTTAGGTCATTTATACAAAAGCTGTAAATACGCCTACTTGAACTAATTACTTGAAAACTTGTGGAAAAAAGAGACCAACTTTATTATTTTTTTAATTATTGATTTTTAAATTATGGGAGCAAATCCATGATAATGTTTTCATACAAATGTGAGACCCTTCGGCCGGTGACTGAAACTGATCCTCAAAAAGAAGATTCATTGTGCCTGCTTGGTAAAGGGCCAAAGTCAATAATTGGCATGAGTGGTAAAGATGATTTTAAAATCAGTTTTATTTAGGTCACTTGAAATATCATTGATACCTTAAGTGAGAGATTATTTTTTTGGTTTTTAATTTACTTGACAAACATATTAACACTGTCTTTCTCCCCCGGTCACACCCGCATATATTGCAGTGTATTTAAAATAGGTTCTATGTTCGTATATTTTATTTGCACACGACTTCCCAGGAAACTTACACCAGTGGAACCAGTACCCAGTCCTCCCCAAAACCTGCATAAAAACATTCTCAGCTATTTTTCCAGTCTTTTTTTACAGTTATGAATGCTGAGTAAATAGGAAGGTATAACCTCTTATTTCATTTATGTAGCAGATTGCAGATTTATGTGGTCAGATGGGTTGTATTGCTAGGCGTTCTGTATTTCTTAAAAGAGAGGATATATTGTTTCATTCGGTTCTTTTAAAAGGACAGATCTCTGTGTTTTTAAAATCGAGTCTTAAATTTAAGTGGGAAGGAAAGGAAGCACCAAATAACGGGAAAAAATGCCTTTGAGAGTTATTTTATTGACTGTATTTGACTTAGTTCTTTTTTTAAAGTTTGAAACAGTAACTTTATATTTCGGTCAGGCACCTTTGTAATTTAATCTCGGCTTTTTAGTTCATGCTTTGCTTTTGTGGGGTAAGGTGAGGGTAGCTTTGAAACGTTTGTGCTGGAGAGAGGGGAAGAAGCCCCTACAGAGATGGAATGGATCTGGTAGGATTTCTGGAATCTGGTAAGGTGCTCTGCTTGCCTTGGTTGGTAAATCAAGTGGAACCCAGCTCAAGCAGTTGTTACAGTAAGTCAGTTAACAAATGAATACAATCTTCTGCCAGTTACAGATCAGCATTTCTTTAAAAATATACAGGCGTATCTCAGAGATAGTTCAGTTCCAGACCACTGCAATAAAGCAAATAAAGCAAGTTGCAAGAATTTTTGGGTTTCCCAGCATGTATAACGGTTATATATACACTATACTGTAGTCTGTTAAGTGTGCAATAGTACTATGTCTAGAAAAACAATGTACATACCTTACTTTAAAAATGCTCTATTGCTAAAAAAATGCCAACCCTTATACCTGACAAGCTGGGGTTGCCACAGATCTTCAATTTATCAAAAACATGTTATCTTCGAAGTGCAATCAAGTGAAGCACAATGAAACAAGATATGCCTGTATACACGCACGTAAAGAAATTTTATTTTCATTGAGAAACACTTTCTGAGATTCCCTGATTTTCTGTGATGGAATAAGTTTAAACTGTGAGCTGGACCCTATCTTTCTGTCCTAACATTCCAGTTTCAGCATGCCCCGCTTTAAGAAACTCCCGTAGAAAAAGAAAAACTGTTGCAGCAAATTCATGCACTCAGCACACGTGCTGAGCGCCTCTAGTATGCATTCACCATGCAGCTGTCACAGAGGAGGCGGTAACCTCGACAGCCTTCACTTTACCCAAGGAGTCACCCCAGGGTTTCCGGGCAGCGGTGGCGTCCTGTACATATATTATGGTATATTTAAAATTAGGGTCTACTTGTAAAAATTCTAGTTGCATAACTTTTCAGGAATACTTCCGTTAGGTAAAATGAGGTGTCTTTATTGCGGACCTGGAGACAGATCTTTGCATCTTGTCACCAAATCTTATCAGCACTCTCCTTTCAACGCTATTTAAGGGTTTCTAAGCCAGATCCATTTGTTCTCAAATACTTAGCCTTTTTTTTCTTTTTTTAAAAAAACAACAACTCTGAGCTGAAATCTTCCTGGAAATGGTACTTTAATAATAGAGTTATATTAATTTATATTCATTATAGAAATGAATTTCCAGTGACCAAGAATTTCATTACATATATTTAAAAATCTAATTTATTTTAGATAGCATTAACTTTTGGTACTATAGATCTTAACATCTTTAAGGCTTATCCTTATATATTCATAAGATTCTAGCCAGTTGAATTAATTCTGGACAAACAATTGGAGATTAGCTCGTAAATACCCACATTGTAAAAAATACAGTATTATTCCTGCCAACCAGTTCTCTTCCTCATTATATTCTTTGGGTCCATTTTCCGAATGCTGACAACTAGATGCTTGGACCAAGTGAAGGCATACTCTGATCCAAAAAGCTCTTTTTATAAACCAGGTTTGATGTGTGTGTGTATGTGCATCTGTGTGTGTGTGTGTGCATTTGCACGCATCTGGCATATTAAGCTCTCTCTAAGATACGCAGACTCCTAACAAGACTGTTCCTTGGGGCTGCCAGTGGTACGTAGGCAAAGTGGAAAGTGCAGTAGAACAGATCTGTGGACTTGGGACATTATCCTTCCTGCTGTACACGTCAGCTGTGTCGGCATTTTGCGGGTAATTTTAATTTAGCCCTGTTCTCTCACTGGTGCCGATGTTACACTAAAGGCTGTACCTGTGACGAAGGCAGTGTTGCTTTGGAAGTCTCCCTGCGTTTCCTCTCTTTCTCTATACATGTTCTCCTTCTTTTCAGAGATGCTTCTGAGGGGTGCTGACCTCTCTGTAGGGAGGGGAGTTACTGGGAGGACCCCAGTGGTGGCCACCCTGCCAGAGGCGGCCTATTTCACTGAGAATGGTCTGAATGGCAGAATGAGTCCTGAGTGTGAATTGTTAGAGGAAGGTTGTTGATTCTTCCTGTCATACTTCTGGCTTTCTCTTCTGCACCCTTAGTTTCAGAGGCGTCTCCCTTTGTTTTTCTGATGAATGTGTAGGAGTTGACTATTTCAACCGTATGTGTTAAATCTTAACAAAGAAGTACTGAGAAGGTTATGGATACTAGTAAGAAGCAAGTAGATGTAGATTAAGCATGAATACCAAAGAGAATTTCACTCTGCCATTTTTTTTGAACCAAAATCCCAAGTCATTCCAAATGCCTTAGATATCAATTAAAATTGTACTGAGATGGACAAAGCTCTTTCTCTACAGAGAGAGTAATCAAGTAAATGCCTGTTCTCTTTCAATAAACCATTACTGAGCAGTGTGGATGCCGTGTTTTCAGATTTCCAGGCAAAGTCATGACTCTACCTGTTTGGCTGCACAGGTAAATCAAGTGGAAAGGCTTTGGCCTTCCTGGTCGACCAGGATTTAATAAGCAGTGGCTTAGTGCAGAGCACTCTAGAGACAGCATAGCAACAGAAAGGGAATATGGGTGAGTTGTTAGATGCCTTTCTCCTGCACCAGGGGTGGGAATACAGAACATCTGTGCCACCATTCTTTCAAGGAGGCATTGTGAATGAGCGGCACTCCTCTCCTCCCAGACAGGAATTGGTCTTAAAATCTGTGTCATTGATGCTTCCAGGCATCCACTACCAGTGCATCAGAGTGAGATGAAGTCTATTTGTCATCCCTGCCTTAGGCAGAGGAGTGAATGAATTACGTGAGTAGACACCACCCAAAATGGCTTTGAAAGCAGTGAGCTGATTCAGCTCAGTTCCCTGGTTCCCAGAAATATGTATTAAATATCTATCATGTGACAGAAAGTGCTAAGAAGTGGGGATACAGACATAAGTAAGCCACCATCCCCGGCCTTGAAGAGCTTACGGCCTTGTGAAAATGTTTGTCGTGATGGTCGTAACTAGACTGTTCGTCTGGAAGATGCCCACTTTTGTCAGACGCACTGGGGCTCCCTGGCCTTCCTGCCTCTTCAGTCCTGGTTCCAGTCTGTCCCCTACTTTATGGTTGACTAACCATCATCATGAACCAGCTTTTCTCTAGATTTGAACATTACATCCTATGGTTTCTGTTTTTCACAGTATGCTCTTTTCTCACTACTTTCCGTAGTCTTCTCTGTACTTCATTTTTCAGAAAAGAATGATATGAGATCTGCTTTATTTAAAATACTTACCAGGCTCCACAGCTTATGGAGCTGAGAGCTCAGCAGCTTGATCCCATGAAAAGGAGGAGCAAAGCCAGGGAAGCAGGTATTGGGAGAGAAGCAAGCTGTTCACATGTGCGTTTGTACCTATGCCTTTAACACACTTCCATAAAAAGTATTAATAAAGAAATGGACATTGAGACACTAGTCCTGACTGAAAGTCAGTTGAGTTTTTGCCTTTGTGATAACTGTCAAAGGGTATGTTTCATTCACATGAGAGTATTTATTTTTCATTTTCTGGTGTTAATTTAGGAACACGATACAAAATACATACCGGTTGACACAGGCTGACTTCTGCCCTTGAAGTAACCATTTTTATCCATTCCTGTAGGAGACAGATTAAATGTAAAAGACGGTCAATTCTGAGTTGCAAAGGGTGCTGTAATGACCTTGATAGAGTTGGCTGGTGCTCTGTCAAATGGATGTCACAGTCTCTTACTAGTAAAGAGAAAGAAAATGTCATCTGCGTTCTTGTGTCATTTTTCTAAAAAAATACTTAATGGGGGCTCTTTAGATGTCTCTGCAAGGTTTTCATTTCTAGTGGTCATTTTAGGCAAAATGATAATCCGTAGAATGAATAGTTATGTTTTGTTATGACTAATTCTTTGTTTAAAAGGTTGTATTGAGTCTTCAATTTCAAGTGTGGCTTAAAATGTAAACACATCACATGATTCATTTCAGTACAATGATGCCTATGAAGCACTTATTCAAACAGCATTCCTTTGTGTTTAGAACTGCAGAAGAAAATCTCTTCAAATAAAATAGTCCTGAATCAGTGTATGTTGTCCTTGAAGTATGAGCTGTGGACTCAGGGCTGGGAGGAGGCAGACAATGCGTGAGACAGGCCCGTGCAGTGGGAGCTCCTGACTGCCTGGAAGGCCAGACGAACACGTGAACCAGTTAGAGAGGTGGCATTTGGCTGGAGGAGGAGTCACGTGGGGCATGTCGTGAGAGCTGCTAGTGTTGGGAGAAGAGGGATCGGGGAGGAGGGTCTCTGAGTCCTTATAATTCTGAATAAAAGAACAAAGTCTAAATCTCACCGTTTAGCAGCTGTGTCCCTCCACAATCTATGTTTTCTACCACTTCCCACTGTTGTGAGCGCCCCTCACTCCAGGAAAACTGCAACACACAACTCCTTTTCTATTGTGTTAGTTATGGTGCTGTCTGCGAGGCTGAGAGAAGCTGGGGGTCAGTGTCACAAAATGGGGTTCAGGGGCTTCCCTGGTGGCACAGTGGTTAAGAATCCACCTGCCAACGCAGGGGACACGGTTTCGAGCCTCAGTCCGGGAAGATCCCACATGCCGCGGAGCAACGAAGCCCGTGCGCCACAACTACTGAGCCCACGTGCCGCAACTACTGAAGCCCGCCCGCTTAGAGCCCATGCTCCACAACAAGAGAAGCCACCGCAATGAGAAGCCCACGCACCACAACCAAGAGTAGCCCCCGCTCACCACAACTAGAGAAAGCCCACGTGCAGCAACAAAGACCCAACGCATCCAATATATAATAAATAAATACGTAAATTTATAAAAACAAAGCAAAACAGAAAACAAAATGGGGTTCAGTTACTAGATGATGGCCTACGGATGTCCATCTTCTTCTTCTTTTTTTTTTTTTTTTTGGCCGCTCCCCACGGCTAGCAGTATCTTAGTTCCCTGACCAGGGATTGAACCCAGGACCCCTGTAGTGGAAACGCAGAGTGCTAACCACTGGACCGCCAGGGAAGTCGCTGATGCCCATCTTCTATCCTTTGATTGCCCCGCCTGTGGGAACACGTGTGCATGCACATGCCCTTCTTATACATACAATTTTAAGAATGACCCAACTTGAACTACTACTACTACCCCATTAAAAATCAAAGACACACTCATCTTTTCCCCAAGGGAAACAATCAAAAATCAGATCCAGCTACTGTATCCAAAGGTGACCTCACAGCTCACTGAGTCCCAAGTCCAGGGTTGTCAGGGATTATCCATCCCTCTGAAGCCCATGGGTGACCACCCATTTCTGGCAGTCTATAAACTAACGAAGAAGTTAACTATTTCGGACACACCCCACGCTAACGGAGCACTTACTCTGTGACAGGAAATCTAGGCATTTTTCTATTTAACTTATTTAATCCTCACAGCAATCCCATGTGGTAAATATGAATATTACCCCCCTTTACAGCTGAGGAAACTGAGGCACTGCAGGTCACAAGTTGCCATTTGGGAAAAGGCAGAAGGGAAATGGCCTGCAACAGTCACTTGTCCAGATGGCATACATCTTCCTGCAGGTAGCGGCTGGCAAGGGCCCTGGTGGTGGAGTGGGTTTCTGGGCAATCTGGGAGCCCGTGATTCTGCTCTGCAGCAGGGTGTTCCATGGCCGTGCGTGAATGGGTGTGCCCAGGTGGCGGCCACGTTCCTGTTGGCAGGGTTATGGGAGCTGTGGGGAGGAAGCCTGCGACCCTCTATAGGCACTGTGGAATCCCAGGCCCCTGTCTGCAGGCCATAAACATTTCCTTGGCAACGAAACCCTTTAAAAACCCAATTAGATGCTGGTACATCTGATCTCTGGCAACTCTGTGGGCCAGTGGCCCAGATCTAATGGAGCCCAGCTCCTTGAACTTGGAGCCCTCCGTCGCCACCCTTCACCCTCAGCTTGATGGCTCCAATCTCTTCCTCAGCTTTGGGACAACCTGAGGCAGTAGGGTTCTGCCCTTCCAGACTACATCCCAGGGAATGCTGCTTTAGTGGAAATGGTTGCCTCTATGTGGCAGGAGGGGTTTGGGGATACAATTCCCACCTTATTTCTTTGCCTCCTCCGAGAACCCAGTCTGACGGTTTTGTTCATGCACCTTTGCAAGGCAAAGGTGGCTCTTGCAGTTCTGCAAGGCACATGTTATGTGACCCTCTGTGGCTTCCTGGCTGCAAGCAGGAGGGTTAAAAGCATGGGCTACAGAGCAAGACTGGCTGAGTTTGCTTCCCAGTCCTGCCACTTTCTAGCTGTATAGGCTTGGTCAGTTTACTGTATCTCCCTGGACCTCAGTTGCTTTATCTGTAAAGAAGGGTAAAAGTAGTATCCACTCTATGGGATTATTGTGGAAATTGAATAAGGAAATCCATTCCTCAAAAGCAGCTTACACCAAAGAAGTAGGGGAGGAAGTCCACATCCACACTTATTTGGAAGATGTGCTGGAATGAAGGGAACTGGAATAAAAGAGACCACCCTGTGTTTCCCGGGATTGTTGGTGCCATTGCTGAGTGAGGGTTCAGGTAGGGACACCAAGATGCCCTGCAACAGAGTAGCCAGCACCCCTGGTACAAATTCCTGTTGCGGAGAGGAGATGCTAGTTATCACCTCTGGGCTGGTGGTAAATGGCCAGCCTCTGCGCTGGGGCAGACTCATGCACAGTGATCCTGTGCCACTAAAACCTAAAGAAAAGGCATGTCTGTGTCTTTTCCCAGCTCTGTTTTCCAAGAGGTGAATAGGTGTTTTCTAGTAGTGCTGATGTTTATTTGTTCTGAAGTCTTTTCTGCTCTGTTGTGGCTCTTGAAAATCACAATCTTCAAAGGCAGCTTTGTAAAGTGGCGTTTCGATGTCACATACTCGTGGACTTGTTGCATGGCTTCAGAATGTTTCCCATCATGGTGCCTGCCCAGGGGTCTCTGTCAAGCATGGTGATTGCCTCTCTGACACAATCATCACCCTCCTGTTTCCTTCTGAGCTTTGTAGTTATTCAGGCTCTACTGTGTAAATAGTGGGGTCAATCTTACTAGGAGGAGGCTGGATGAAACAACAGCTCCTGTGAATGCTGTGTAGAGTAAACCCTGGGCCCATACACTCTCCTGCTTTGAGCTGGACACATCAATATAGACAAAATTCCAAGTGAAGAAAATTTCAATGTTGAGAGAGAACTAGAGAAAGTTACCGTAGGACTAGGTGTATTTGCATGGGACGGAAACCCTAAAGTAACATACCTTAAATACAAGAGAAGTTAATTTTCTCTGATGGAACAGAAGCCTGGAGTCAGGCAGCGTGGAGCTGGTACAGCCCATGGTGTGCTGGGCTGGCTTGTTCCAGCTTGTGAGAACCAGTTGTTAACATCTCTTCCCAACTCTATGTTCACTGATGTCACACTGGTAACTCAAAATTGGCCATGGTGGAGTAGTCATGTCACAGAAATTGGCAAACGCTACAAGTCACGGTTTTGCCTTCCAAAGAGCCTGTTGTTTAACATTTAACAGCACACCTCTGGGTATAACTCTCTACAGAATTAGGGACCCAAGCTTTTTCTATCCTACTGCTCCATCATCCTTGTATGTGATTCCCATTCTTATGGTCATTCATGTCCACAATTGCTGAAAAAGTTCCAGACATTGAATTACATATTCCAGGTGGCAAGAAGGAATCCAAAAACAAGGGGACAAATACTGGCACCAGCAGTATCTTAAGGACGTTCCTGGGAAGCTGCTATACAACATTTCTTTGGCCAGCACTAGGGACATGGCTGTACCTAACTGTAAGGGAGCCTGGGAGATGTAGTATGTATTTGGGGATCCATCTGTAAAGCTAAATGGTAGGGGTCTGTGGTAAACAGAGCTCTAAGATATCCCTGTGCTCTTTACCCTTGTATAATCTCCTCCCCTTGAATATGGACTTGCAGATATGAAGAGAGAGCACTCCTGTGATTATGCTATATCCCAAATTAACTTTTTTTAAAATGGTATGGGTGACTTTCTTTTTATTTTATTTTATTTATTTAGTTTGGTTGCGCCAGGTCTTAGTTGCTGCAGGCGGGCTCCTTTAGTTGCAGCATGTGTGCTCCTTAGTTGCAGCTCACGGGCTCCTTAGTTGTGGCATGCAAACTCTTAGTTGCAGCATGCATGTGGGATCTAGTTCCCTGACCAGGGATCGAAACTGTGTCCCCTGCATTGGGATTCTTAACCACTGTGCCACCAGGAAAGTCCCAAATTAATTAACTTTAAGATAGGGAGATTTTCTGTGTATGCCTGACCTAATCACAAAAGCCCTTTAAATCCAAGTCTAGAGGTCAGAAATGGAGAAAGCTAGAGATTAGAAGCATGAGAAAGATTCAGTGTGCCATTGCTGGCTTGAAGATACAGGTAGCCCTGTGGTAAGGAAGGCAGGAAGCCTCTAGGAGCTGAAAGTGAACCCCTGCTAACACCCAACAAGGAAATGAGAATCTCAGTCCTACAACCACAAGGAACTGAATTCTGCCAGTGTGGTGAAGAAATTGGCTCTTTTTCCCTTAGACACTTAATTGTTTTAAAGCTGTCAGTGTCCTAAATTCTAGCATATTTTGTGCTAAGTCGAACTTGGTAAATTCTTTTTTTTTTAATTTATTTTATTTATTTTTGGCTGTGTTGGGTCTTTGTTGCTGCGTGCAGTCTTTCTCTAGTTGTGGCAAGCGGGGACTACTCTTCATTGCAGTGCATGGGGTTCTCATTGCAGTGGCTTCTCTTGTTACAGAGCATGGGCTCTAGGCGTGCAGGCTCAGTAGTTGTGGCTCGTGGGCTCTAGAGCACAGGCTCTGTAGTTGTGGTGCACGGGCTTAGTTGCTCCGCGGCATGTGGGATCTTCCCGGACCAGGGCTCGAACCCGTGTCCCCTGCATTAGCATGTGGATTTTTAACCACTGGGCCACCAGGGAAGCCCGAACTTGTTAAATTCTTAATCAACAGATATTTATTAAGCAAATACTAGCATGGCTGCCATTGGAATACAAAATAAATAAAAACTTTGTCCTAACAGGAACTTGAAGTCTAGTTCAGGGA